GTATATATTATATTTATATTAACATTCTCGAGCAACCAAAATAAATAAAACGAAAATATCAAAATATTCAACATATAAATTATCACCATTTAAATGACAATCAAAATAAATCGACCTATACAATCGCGTTCTTATCTAAGCAGAAATTAATATTAATTTTGATAACACCCGCATCTTTCGAAGTAGTTCAAACGAAAGTCCGAAATCAATGAATTAAAATAGCATAGATTATTTACAAAACTTATTTATAAAACTTCTGTAACTAATAATAGTTATAATAAATGAAATAACTGTGGTTACAAATATTCCGTCGGGTTAAGAACGCAAAAGGAACTCGATTAAAACCTAGGCTTGTCACCGAGTTTCGGTTGATCCACGCTTCGCTCCGGATAGTTATTAATTCGCGTCTGTGAGATATGTTTCATTCACGGACGATCGCTAGGCGAGCGTAAAATCCAAGTTTAAGCGAGTTTCCGACACGCTTCCGGGGATGTCCTTTCAAACGGGAACTAAATAATTTAATGAACGTACGCGAGCTGCTTCGTGGTGAGCGTTAAGCTGTCTAACTTGCACACGGCCTATTTCGCGATAGTTGTTTGCCCGCTCGTTAAATCCCCGATGAGAACGAGGTTATCACACGGAGAAATGAGAAAAACGGAGAAGACGGAGCAGACGGGTGAATTTTCTACGAGGCTCGTGGCTACTGAGCACGAAAACAAAATTCCAAAAAGTACCAGCTGAACGGAGATCACGAACCTAGGCGTCTCTCTAGCAGCCTGGTTGGAAAAGTAATTTCAACAAGTCCTACAACTGCACGGACACACGTGATCGTTGCGGCATCGCGAATTAAAAAATTCTCGACTAAATATAGTCGTTTGTATTTCCAGCTGACTGACTCAGTCATACGAACTTTTACGCGCGTGCACATGTTCTATGAACCAGAGACCGAATCGGTATTACGGATACCGATAAAATACCGGTATTTTTAGGTTACTATTCGATTTCGGTTTGATGAAATCGAAATAGTGCGAATACCGGTATAACGATGTTAAGTCGGTAGATGTGTTTATAATACCGGTATAATACCGGTAAATAAAATATATTAGAAAAGGAAAAGGAGACAATAATTAAATGTTTTCATAAAGCTGCCGATAGTAAGTAAATTTGACAACGCTTATACACGTACACTTTGTTCATTTTTATTAGCTTTTTTATCAGTTTTTTATTTTATTTTATTTATGTTAGCGGATAGCAGATGTCGGAGAAAGTCGTTTTCTCAGACATGCAGTTAGGAGAATTTACGACTCGCGTGTCGCCTATGCTATTGAATTGTGAAGGCCAAGTTTATTTTCTCACAGTGCATAAAGACCAGACATCTGCACTCGAAGTTTTTAGTAATTCGGCTACAATATCATTTCTGCGAAGCGTCGTAAACCTTAGGTTTCCAAGGGCCAACCCAGACCTACGTTTGGAAAACACTTGGAGAGAAAACTCTGCTACACCGCCATAAATTAGGAAAATCGCGAAATTGCAGTCCCATTCTCGGAAAAAGCGCGTTACGAACGCAAGGAGTAGACGGCGCAATTTCATGAAAAAACCTAATCGGTTAAAATCTAAAAACGACTCGGCCAATTAGGGATGTCCGAGATGGGAACCGAGTTTTCCCAACAGCAGAAAAATGTGCAATAGATAAATAAAATTTATGTTACTATGAACTATAATGAATGTTCTATTATATTATTAAAAAATTAATCCAAATTTACTATTATAAACAATCGAAATCCACAACAATATTTTGAATAGCATGATGTCCGAATATTAATAAGAGTCACTGTACGTAGAAAATGGAAAAATACCGGTATTGAAACCGATTTCCCAAATACCGGTATACACAACATTTCGGTTTCAGTTTACCGGTATAATACCTAAACCTCACAATATTTCGGTTTTCAGTCTCTGCTATGAACATCATGAATAAATCAGAGCGACGACATCATTCCGATTCTGATTGTCGAAACGACTGCGAGCGGGTGAAAAAAAAAAAAAAAAAAAAAAAAAAAAAAAAAAAACAGAGAGAAAAGCAAGGAAAGACATGGAAGATGTCTTATAATAAGAGGATCGAAGATACAGGGGAAAGAAAAAAGGATATTGTGAAGCAATACAACTTCTTCATTGTACTTCGAAAGCAGTATAGTATCGATGACTATTGATTCTAGTCGACAGAGAAAAGATATCATCAGGCTACGTCTCGTCGTTGAGCACGTAATATTTTTGTAACGTCACACACTGTGTCGAATTAAATTTGTAGATCGCAAGGCGCGATACAGTTGCCGCAAATGGATTTCGCGGTGAATAGAAAATCTATACTCCGATTCGCCGTGTGCAAGCGGCGCAGCCGGTTGTCAGAATGCAATTTCGTTGCGATGCCCGCGAGGGAATCGAGAATATAATGCGAGTCGGATATCGTTGATGATGATCTTGTTGCCGAGCAACCCCTAGGAAACGAGGGGGGCTACGACCGCGAGAATCACCGCAGATTCATCTATAAATATATTCAATTCGTCGAGAAGTGGAGCGGAGATCATTAAATCGCTTGCGACGAGCAGATTGCAAATTTTTGTGTCTTTCGTTCTGTGCAATGAGACTGTTTAATTTTTGACTTTGATGGTTAATAATTTGTGATGGTTAATAAGTAAGTGAAAATCAAATATTATAATGCACGGCTGAATAAAATTAGGATATAAATGTAACAATTAGAGTGATGGATGATAAATTAGATGTGATGGGATAGCAAGTAAGACGAGGATAGTGATAGATAAATATGGTAGGTACAGTAATATAGATGAAAATAACTGAAGAGAAAAATAAAATAAAATAATATAAAATAATATAAAATCAAACTAAAATAAAATAAAATAACATAAAATCAAAATAAAATAAAAAGATAGATTGAAAGAATAAGTAAGTAGTAAAAAAAAGAAAAAGGTTACTACGCGATAAAATGTTAGATAAATGCGACTAATAGATAAAAAGGATAAGTGGACCAAAGCTTTTAAAGATGTCTCTTTTTTTAAATCAGCAAGTTGAAAAGATGAAAAAATTAATTTCATTGTACAGCGATACGATTGCGTTGGTGAGACTGAATCTGGAGGAACAGGGCATGTATTATATATTGTAGTAAGATAGAATTACGTTCGTGTCAACGTTGAGATACCACGTAAAAAAAGAAAAGGAAAGAAAGAAAGAAAGAGATAGATAGAAAAGGGGTCAAAATTCATGGACTTATGAGTCAACCACCTACTGACGATATTCAGGACTTAAGCTGATCCCACGGGACGGTGGTGGAAGAGGCCGCGCTTTGTTGAATCCATCCCCCTCCGAATCTAATTCGTATCGACGGCCGCACGTGCGTGAACTCCCCGAAGGAGGAAAGAGAGAGAGAGAGAGAGAGAGAGAGAGAGAGAGAGAGAGAGAGAGAGAGAGAGAAAACACGTGCGCCCGATAGCTCTAAAATTGAAACGAGATGGAATTCCTTATCGTTCGAACACGGCCGAGAAACGCGTTTACGAGCTTCCAACCAATTCCATTATCCTTCTAAATTCTCTCCGTCTCCTTAAAGTCCTTTGGTCGCTCTCTAATTTCGTTACCGCGTACTTTACACGAAGCAATTCAACCCTTCAATGCTACAGACTTAGAACTTTCGTTCCTACTTGTTTCTCTTGCGGCGATATCTCACATTTTTGGCAACAAAAATTTAGCGACGATCCAAGTTAAAAGCTAGAATGACGTACCACGCACGTCGAGTATGTCAAAATGACCAATTTATAATTTTCCGTGGAAATTTTATATATTTTTGTACAGTGTGTTTTTAAATACTCGAGTGATTTTTAATAAAATGTATTAGATATATAATATAGTATATTATATTATTATTAAATATAATATAAGACTGTATTCTTTATTGTATTGTTTTTTGTACCTTGCACTTTAATTTCTTCGCCACCAATATATTATACTTTAGTCGTCAGTGTTCTAGTTCTAGTGTTGACCACTTGCGCTGGCATCTGATGCCAGCGGACCATAACGAACGATCAAAACCGTGCACAATAATTCGTCGCTTTCTTTTTCTTTTGAACTCGTCGATATATCACTTGAATAGAAATTGGAAGTAATAAATATTTATCATTTGTTTTGCCTATTTTGTTTTACTTAAATATACTTAAAACTGAGAAAATATTGCAATTTTGGAGGTTAACCCCTTGCGCTGGCAACTGATTGCGGACCATAACGAGCGACCAAA